ATATATATATATATATATATATATATATATATATATATATATATATATATATATATATATATATATATATATATATATATATATATATATATATATATATATATATATATATATATATATATATATATATATATATATAATAGTATAATTTTTAATAGATCTTTGTGTGTATATTGAGTATTTATTTAGTTAAGATTATTAATTTGAATATATTGACATTATTTTAATGTTAAATTTAAAATTTGAGCCTTCAGCGTCATACCTGAATCTTAAACTATCCTTAATTGAAAATTGATATTCTTGATCTACAGAGAGTACCAAATATGTGTTTCTTAAAATCGGAGTTTTATAATATCATACGTTTATAATATCAGACCTTGTGGTCTATAAATCTATGATTTATAAGCCCTTCTTAAACAGACTAATAAAATCCGTTGAAAGTTTTTTATATTATTATTTACTTTCAAAAAATCTTTTTTTTAAAGGATAATAAGTAATAATAAATAAATAAATAGTTATAATTATATAAATTTTTACATTTACTTTCTACATTACAGCTTTTAAACGTAAACAAACGCAATATTAAATTTTGTCCCTACAACTTAAATATTAGTGCCCAGACCTTCCCGTATGAAACTTGGTAATAGATGAAAAATAGGGTAATTCGGGACCATATGCGACAACCGGAAATTCAATTCATATATATTCTGAAACAGTTGTTACATTCACGGAAGTTTACAAATAGTACATGTACTAATCTTAAGTAAAAACCTTGTAAATAAAAGCTAATAAATATATTGATTAATGCAAATTATATATTAATCATCCACAGCAGCAACAAAACGAACATTAAAAGGTGAAGGAGTAAAAATACTAATAAAGATAATAATAAAAGTTGTAGTTGTAACAGTAATAACAATACAATGATAAAAGTACAGTGATTAAAATAAAAATAAAGTAACAGAAATAAAAATAGTTATAATAATCAAAAAAAAAATACTAGTAATTTAGTTCTAGCCACATAAATACACACATATACAGACACATAAAAATACACACATACAAACACATATACAAACTTACGTTCACAAATACATATAAACACATATACTTATACCTGTATACATATACTTATACCTGTATTCAATACAGGTATGTAAACATTAATTGTATACAAACATAATATACACCCATATATGTAGATTCGTATATACTATACACAAATAAACGTATATACACACACGTACATATACATACACACATACATATTCACACATACATACACATATACAAACATAGCATAACATAACACACATACATACACATATACAAACATGAATACATATACACACATTTAATAATATTATATATGTATATATTATATACACCAACACATATTCGCATACACACACACACACACTCACACACATATATATACACATACACACATATATATACATACATATACACTCACCACTTATTCACATGTGTGTATCACAAACACTTAAACACAAATACATATCTTTGGATTTATTAACTGTATTTGATTAGGAAAGAATGAAATAGGTTACTCTTAAAAATATAGATTGAATGGAGAGCTTTTAGGTCATAGGGAAGGTTATTCCAAGATTTTATACTTTGGTTTTTTATGGACTTATATACATAAGTAACAGAACGATGTTTTAAGACTGCAAGATTCAGATTATCAATTGATCGAAGATAGTAACGGTTATTTGCTTTTTTTGGGAAGAAATTGTTGAAGGTAAGAGGTAGGTTTTTGTGTTGGTGATTCCAGACAAACTGGCAATTCAAGAATTGAACAAGGTCACATAGTTTATGGATCTTAGAAGTAAGATAAAGCACATTAGGGTTGAATTTGTAATTCTGAAAATGTATTATTTTTAAAGCTTTGTTTTGAAGATGCAATATCCTTAAAACTGCTTGCTGTGGAAATTGTCCCAATATTTGACAAGCATATCGTATATGTGAGCCAAAAATGGCATGATATATATTTAATAGTGTTTCCAGATTGACATAATGACAAAGTTTTGCCAGCATTTCATTTGATCTGCTCAATTTTATGGCTAAGTCTTTAATATGGGATGCAAACGATAGGTTGGAATCAATTATAATTCCAAGATATTTGATAGAGTTTACAGGAATGATTTTCTGGCCACTTAATCTAAAGTTTAAATTTTTATTGGTTTTTGTTTTATTAGATTTGAATATGACCAGTTCAATTTTGCTACAGTTGAGAGAAAGCTTATTTGAGCAAAGCCACTGAACTAAATTGGCAAGATCATGATTAATGTATTTGTTAATTTTTTTTAAAGATTTGTTGATAATGAGCGAGTTAGTATCATCAGCAAAGTGATAAGGACTTGCAAACTTAATTGAATTATTAAGGTCATTAATAAAGAGAAAAAAAAGTAGTGGTCCTAATACTGAGCCTTGAGGGACACCATTGGAACAATTTATTTGAGTAGATTTTGAGTCATTGACTGAGACAAACTGAGATCTGTTGTGAAGATATGAAGTAAACCAATTAAGAGGTATTCCTCTGATTCAAGTCAAGAGCTTTTCTAATAGACTCAGTAATTTTAATAAGTGAGTGGGTTGTGGAATGATTAGCACGAACCCATAATGGTGTTTGTAAAGACATTTAAGTTTATTTAAAAATGCATAGAGCCTCTTATACATAGCTTTTTCAAAGAGTTTACTTTTCAAAGAGTTTACTTAAGAAAGATGAGACTTTCTTTTATCTTTTCTGGAGATAGTAATCATCATAGTCCTTCATTAATATTGAGCATATATTTTGTGGTTGTACTTGCTAAGCTTAATACACCTGTTTTGAAAATAATTTTATATTTCATTTATTATTTTTTCTAAGAGGATTATCATTCTGCGGATAGGAAAAAAAACTGGGCTCGTTACACTACGGAAACTAACCTGGATCCAGGTATTAGCTAAGTTTGATTATTTTTTTGCCCATAATTTTATCACACTCGGTAACAAAGGAAAGTGAAGCACCTCGTACCTATCTAAAACATTGGTAAAAAAATCATCATCTTTATTACCACCAAAGTTGTGGAATTTTTAGGTAATAAGATCCCCAGTGCCGGATCAAGGCAGGGCTAGTGAGGGCTATATCCCCGGGCTCCAAAAATTTAGGGGCCCCCAAAAAATTTAGAGCTCTGGTCCATAAAAAAATTTTAGAGCTCTGGTCCATAAAAAAGGCCTCCAAAACCAAAAATAGCCCCGGGCCCCAAGAAGTCTTGATCCGCCACTGATCATCTCTAAATCGAAATGTTCTATTACATACTTTTTATTAACTTAAACACAAATTCTTAGTTTTCAAAATTGTTGGTTCTACTCCCAATATTTCTAAATCATTGTTGGTTCTACTCCCGCTTATTAACTTACTCTAATTTGCTTAGTGCCACGTTTTACCATACGGAGAACCAGTTGAGCGTTTCCTATCCATCATTCCCATGCATAACTATCTTGAGTTTCCATGCATAAGTGTGCATGGGATCAACTATCAAAATTGCTGTGGCCAGTTATATGATAACGCTAGTAATATGTTTTTAATCTACTCTGGTTTACAATATTGATAAACTGAATAAGGAAATACACCGAAATCCAAATAAACCGAAATTACAGATAAACATTTTACCGATATTTCTACAGTTTCTGCAGAGATCTTTAAGACTCAAACTTAACTGTCTTAGTCTTGGTATTGGTCTTGTAAAACCTAAAGTATTAGTCTTGGTCTTAAAAGCCAAGAATATTGGTCTTGGTGTCGGACATCTACTTTTACTTTCTTGATTCTTACGAAAAATATCAACTCAATGAATGGATTAGTTATTTATAAGAAATTTCGGCTTAAAAAACTGATTTCATTAAAAATGTTTTCTTAAAATGCAATTTTACATTGATTCTTAATTTACATTTGCTTGTTTTTTTACATTTGTTGTTTATTTTTTGATGATATCATTCCATCTTAAATTGTAATAATAAATAGTCATAAATAAATAAGAAAAAAAATAAAATAATTCATAGAAAAATCCAGAGCGGCGAGTCACCCAAGCAATTTGCTTAGGGCTCCCACCAGTGATTATGAAAATAAAAAACAAATTTATGCTGCAAAATTTGGAGAGAAAACTTTTGTCTCACTCAACTTGTGGAACAGAATTTCTAAATTAAAGCTTGCATAAACTCTTTAGAAATGAAGCGATTACACTGCATATTTTTGATTCAATTTCAGCAAGAGTGGCCTCAAATGAGCTTTCATTTAATAAATTGAAGCTCATCAAGAATTTTTTGCGTTTAACTATGGGACAAGAACGAACCAGCGATCTTGCTGTTTTAAATATTAAGTCAAAATCTTGACTTCCATGATGTGATTGAAGAGTTTTCAAAACAAATAACAAGAAAAAAAAATGTAAGAAACAAAAGCTGGGCTACTTAATTATACCAGTTATAAAATCAAAAAATTTGACTTTTTTTTTTTTAAGAAAAATTGATAGAAATAACAAAAAGATTACATCAACAAATTTTTATCCTTTTTTACTTTCTATTTAAACTATTCAAATCAGATTTGTTTTCTTCAAACAAAACGTTATCAGTGCAAGATTCAAAATGATATGCGAACCGCAATGCTTTAATTATTTGGGGTTTTGATAATTTTAAGAAGCTTATCAATACGCGCTATTTAATTTCTAAAAAAGTGAAGTAATTTGTGAACAACGGGGTTAAAACCTCATTTAGATATGGTAAAATATTTTGTGAAAATTGTCATAAATAACTGTTCTTTTAAATTAAATAAAAATTTAAAATCATACAAAACCAAAATTTTGCTTTGTACCGAATTTATAAAAAGTAACGACACAATTTTAAATTGAAATTTCGGCAAAAACCAATTCCGAAACATAATTTTGGTCGATCGCTAGTTTACAAGCTAGAATCAAAGAGATCACATAAAATGTACATGGCAAAAAAATTTGCCGACTACATTTCATGTACTACCCAGTTCTTAAGCCTCGTAAAAGTAAGTGCAGCACAATACATCGTAGTTGCTATTGAGTTCTTTGGCATTCTTCATGATATTTATAACTTTTTTTCTGCATCAACTTATCAATGTATTAAAGTTATGTTTTTTCCCCTTAAAGTTCCAAGACTCTTTCAAGAGTTTTTGATTTTGTTAATAACAGTGTTTAATAACAGAAGTTGTTAATAACTATTTTCTATTGAGGTCGCCCTTCTTGAGCTTAACAATGAATGCAGAAATCAAAAACTAGAAAGGCCTTCAATTTTTAACCAAAATGAACCAACTTGAATACCTGTTCTTGCTATTCTTTGGAGCAGCATTATGGAGTAATTCATTAAAGTTAATAAAAAACTGCAGTCTGTCAAGATTCATTTAGATTTTGTCGAAAAACTGTTTAAATTCCTAGATTTTAATATGAGCAAGTTCGCTCCAACTTCGAGTATAACAAAATAGAAGTCATTTCTTTGGTCAATGCAGACAAATATGCTTACGATAAAAAAGTGTCGGAGAACACGCAAAAGCTTTTTCAGATATTTCTATTGTTCCAATAGAAAATCTGATATTGATTTTCATCAACATAGAAAATATCATCTCAGCATTCGCGAGCTTAAAATGCCAACAATAGGTATTATAAAACCTATATTAATCGCTTAGCAACAAAGGCTACTAAATTTTTCATCAAATAACGTATTTTTGTGTAATAAATAACGTGCAATGCAAGTTTAAATATAAAAGAAAATACATTTAAAAGCCGTAAAGTAACAACTAAAATATTTTTTTACTTTGTATTGTTATTAAATTTAAATACTGGGAGATCAACCTGCCATTTTACGCCTGATGGCGTAAATGGCAGGAAGCCAAGTATTTAAACCGGCTCTGATCAATTATATATTAACTTAATTACTTTATGTATGTATGTATGTATGTATGTATGTATGTATGTATGTATGTATGTATGTATGTATGTATGTATGTATGTATGTATGTATGTATGTATGTATGTATGTATGTATGTATGTATGTATGTATTTAATATTACTAGATAGTTTGTCTCACTTTTTCTAGTGAAAAAAAATTAAGAAAAAAGTATAAAAAACAAACATCCAATGCTGTTTATATCAATTTAGGCGGTCACTATATTTCTTAATATATACATAAATTTATGCATAGAACTTTTTAAACATTTTTTTCCACACTTTTTATAATTATTTTTATAACAATTAGATTTTTTAAAGTTTATAGTAAAGATCATGTTTCAAAATTGTTTAAATATATCATGATCATGTTTCCAAAATAATCTTTGGAAAAATGCGTGAACTTTGTGACTTTGTTTTGTAACTAAATAACAAAACGATATAATATTTTTTTTCCAAATACATAAATTGAAATTCAATTTTAAGGGGGCAAATAAAATTACTTTTTGGTAGGGTTATTGAGATGTTTGGGTGAGCCGTTTGGTAAAGAATAAAGGTTTGAATACAATTTACGCCTTTATACACTATAGCGTTGTTATTTTACAAGTATTTTACATACCAAAATACCATGGTGTTATTAAATTATTACGTATTTACATCTTAATGAAATCAGCTTGATGAAATATAGTAACAATTAATAGTACATAAATTTAAACATTCATTGGGGAATATTTATGATTTACACTTATTTGTATTTATATATGCAAATGTAAAAGGAAAACATTATTACGCAAATATAAATTTTCTGTTTATTACGTTTAGGATTTTCCTTTCCATTTTCCTTAGGGATTGCTGTCTGAAATCAATATTTCCGGTAACTATACAAAATTATTCTTCGAAATTTAATTATTTTTAAATATAATTACTCTTAATTAAAAGAATATTTTAATTATAAAAACCAATGGTAGTGTTGGAAGTATACGTTATTTAAATATGTAATTTTAGGTTACTATTAGTTGCATTTCGTTATTTTTTATTATATTATCGTTTTTATATAATGTTATATATTAAATAACTTTAACTTTATAATGCTTATTATAAATTAATGATATACGCACTTGTTTCATACTGAGGATATACGTACTTGTTTTGATTTATCTCTTTTTGATTGGTACAATAATTTCAAAGCGCGAACTATCTTTAAAATGTTTATACTGTGGTTTTACAGACAAAAACAAATTTATAATTACTAATAGTTATAAGTTATTAAGAATATTTTAAAACTTTATTTTTTAATATTTATATATAAAAAAATAAACATTTTTATTATAAAATTCAAGCTTTAGTATTATTTACTGTAATCAAAGGTCTATAAGACATAGTATGATAAAAAGTTATTTGTAACAAGTGTGTCCACCCCGTTCAATTAATTTGAATTGTACAAGAAAAATGAAAAAGGCTAAGAAAACTGATCCCGAAAAACCTGGTAGTAAAGTTTCGTTTGAACAGCCAGATAGTAATATGACTAGCGTTGCCATAAAAAAGTATGACGAACTTATACGATGTACAAATGTATTGGCTGAAGGCATTGAAACTGGTAAGTTTAAAAAAATTTAAAATAGTTATATTTTGTTTATTTATCATGCCTAGACTACGTAAATGAAAGTAGCTAATTAAACTAAAAAAAGCAGTTTTTTCTATTGCATTAAGTGGACTATAAAAGTACTAAACTTCTTAATTTACGTTTATAAAAAATAAAAAATAAAATAAATAAAAAAACTGAGTAACTTAAGTCAAAAGTTTCAATGTTTTCAATTTAATGCTTCATGACAACAAGTTTTTTTATCTACAAAGCTCTATCCTTGCAGTTTGCCAACTGCAAGGATAGAGCTTTGTGGTTGTATATAATCCAACAAGTTTTTCTATACAAAGACAGCTCATAAAATTAAAAAAAATTGCAACATCCTATTGATCTTAATGACATAAACGTCATCAGGTGTTTAATTCAAGTTAGTTCATAAGATTAGTATATGTCATTTAGAAATAATATAAGCTATCATAATAATGTCGCATAGCTCTTAATATGCATTTTCTAGATCTTGATAAAAATAGCCTTTTTTGTCAAAACCATGGCCAATAATGTTTACTTTAACAAAATATTGATTTTAAGTATGTTTTAGTGTTGTGAGAAATACTTTTTAAAAAAATTTAAAATGCAAATACAAAGTATTTAACAAGTGTTAGAATTACAAAATACTTAATTTCAAAGTATTTAAAATACAAAATACTTTTTGACTAATTAAAAGTGTTTTAAATCTGCTAAAATTTAAAATGACAACTAAAACTAATCTATAAGTTTTTTTTGGATTTCAGATACAACAATTGTTCAAAATGTTTATTGACTAACTGATTTCAGCATAGCTCTTTAATTAAGGCTTTTTTTAAAAATAAATGTTTAACTGGAGCAGATGATGGAACAGTGGCATTAACTACTCGGAATAATTTTTTTACCAATCAGTAGGTATGTGATATGAAAATTTTAAAATGATTATATACTATATTGTTATATATCATTAGAAAGAGCTTCAATACAGTATTTTAAAGGCAAAAAAATTATCAAAATCCGACGTACCTTCCAAAAGTTATGACATTTTAAGTACCGTTTTTTTGATATGTGGATTTGTTGAAGAAACTATGGTCAAAATTTAATTTTCCTTTACTAAAATTGTTATAACTTTGTCAATACTTATTTAAAAATCTATATCTTGGTATCAAAAGATAGGTGTATGAAAGGATTATATGTTAACGTTGGTCACTAGTCAATGGACATTTCCAGGGAGTTTGAAGGGGCACTAAACCTCTGCCTTTACCATCCAATAATTTCAAATTTCATCAATAAAAGTGTTATTGTTTCATTTGTGTAGTATTTAAGTGTGTTATTGTTTTAATGTGTTGTTGTTTCATTTTATATCCAAGAAAACATTAGAAGTATTTCTTATAGTTAGGGTGGATGTAGTGGTGATGGTTTGATACACCCTAGTATAAAAAAAAATTATTTTTATAAATATTTTTTTAATCAAAATTATTATAACAGTTATAACAATTAAATTTATATTCTACTTGATTACAACATATACCAGTGGTGCTTAGCTTGACATATGGGGGAGGAAGGGCGTATGGTCCTCCCCTCCGCCTAACCCCCCAAAAAAATTTAATTGCTTTTAATTTGCGCTAAAGCTACTAAAACAAAATTTAAATGCATCTACAATACCTCATATCATTTAATATAACCAGAGTGGGAGTTGCTCTGCCATTTTAACTATCCAAAAATACATATCTCTTTAAAGAATGATGCAATTTTATAATTATTTGTGTCTTTATAAAATGGCTATAAATTATTAATAAAAACATGCTAAAAATTATCTATTCATCTGTGTTGTGTTTATTTCACTTTGGGATAGGGTATTTGCCCCCTCTTAACCAAATTAAAACAAATTAAAATGAAAAAAATATATATATAATTTTTAATTACACAGAGGATGTATTTTGTCTTAGCTTTTAGTAAATGATTAGTTTTGTCTTAGCTTTGTCTTAGCTTTTGTCTGCTTTTGTCTTTTGTCTGCTTTTGTCTTAGCTTTGTCTTAGCTTTTGTCTTAGCTTTTGTCTTAGCTTGTCTTAGTTTTGTCTTAGCTTTTAGTAAATAATTAAAAATTAAAGTTCCATTAATGAAACTACATAATAATCATTTTAACGATAGACACCATGTGAAAGTAAGCCAGAGTCTATCAAAAATTTTATGCAAGTTTCATCACTTGCAATACCTTTTTGCAAGTCACAACACCTGCAGTAACTTTTTTGCAAATTTCATCATTTGCGATACTTTAAAAACAACTCTTAACTATCCAAATCATAAATCAATTATTTTGTAAAATAATATATACACTTTTTTATATAATTGATACATTATTTTTTTAATAAAAAGAAGGTAAATAAGTTGTTAAAGAACAATACATGATATTGAAAAATATATGCAACCATCGGAATTAGGAAAAATGAGTTCGGCAATAATTTGCATGAAAGTTTGAGGTCGGCAATTTTTTGCTGACCTCAAACACTTTCAGGTCGGCAGTTAGGTCAGCATTGCCGAATGTTGATCCTAATTCTGAGGGTTGTATATGTTATGTTTAATAATTTTTATTTATTAATTGCAATTGTTATTATTTAATTCAATTAAAAACACAATTAGCAATGGCATTGAGAACATTGTCACAATGATTGACAATACCATTGCTGAAGAAATCAATCACTATTGATAATAGTGACTTGACCAACTTTTCAACAGTTCTGGTAAATAAGTATTAAGCAAATATGGATAGGTTTAGTTAACTATTACCAGCCTACCTAGCAGTTAATTACTTTAATTGACTAGGTTACAGTAGCTGACTAGTCAAATATCTACAATTGATAGAGGTAAAAATATCACTTACGTAGGAATAGGTTTACAATACCTTCAACTAAAAAAACTTATAATTAAAGTAATAAGTAAACTTGTTTTAGACTTAAATTTATTTAAATTAATGCTCAACAATAAAAATAGTAAAAACCTTTTTCCATGACAACATCCATATTCTACATAATTTCTATATAGAATATTTAAAAAAGAATTTAATATACCAGATGTAAAAAAAAATCAAATATTATTTTAATTAAATTTTTTTTTTTATTATATTAATAATATTATATTATTTAAATTAATAGAATTAATAAAAGTTAATATCTTGTCTTTATTATTTAAAAACATTGCTATAATTTATTAGTAATAATCAGGCTTGGTCGGGAAGCGGGAGCGATCGCTCTCGAATACTGAATTATATTTAGTTAGCGAAAAACTGGCCAGGTTTTTTAGTCGTTTTGAGAACATAGTTTATTAAGTTAATATACGAAACAAAAAAATTTTGTTTTATGGACATACATGGAAACAAAAAAATTGAATGTTCTCAAAATTTTTTGGCGCGAAAGAATAAAAAAGAATATTTGTGAACACTAAAAACCTGCCAAATTAACGAACAAACTAATTCTATTGGTTCAAAAAATATGCTGACTAAGCAAAATAAAGTTCTCATGTGTTCTGTTAAAATGTTTTAAAGAAATTGTATTATTCACGATTTGTGACGTTTTGAGATTTCTAGCATAAATTGTTTTAAGAATATATATTATTTGTTTACAAAAATAAATGTTTTAAATATATATTAATTAAATTGTCAAAATTTTAAAAGTTTATGATAAATTATAGATTTTATTATTATATTCTTATTTTTTATTTAAAAAATAAGTATTCTTTATATAAATGTAATTTTGTGTATCTGTTTTTTATCGTAATGTATCTTTTAAAGCAATTTTTATGATTTAAACAAAGACTTACAAAAATATTTGTGTTTTCATAGAAGTTATAATCGTCAAAGTTAATAAAACTAATTATGTAACAAAAATATAAGAAGTTTCTGGTTACTAAACACAAACAATGCATACAAAGTAACTTGCGGATGAACAAGCACCGCGCCTGAGGTCATGACAGAACACAAATATATATAGCAAATAATTAGATATAAAGAAAAGTTTCTGGATATTGGTTTACTAACTCTAATTATTTTCGCTTGCCATTCTTGAAACTCGTTATACTTTTTTCTGCTTTAAATACTAATTAAAATTAAAAAGCTCACTCACTAAACATCATCAGCGATATTGTGAAGCAGTTTCGCTTCCTCGTCATAAAGTATTTTTAACCCTTTTAGTTGATTTCTATCTTGTTAATTTAATTTATAGTAATTCAATGATTTAGTTATTTCATTTGTTTATCTTACTAAGAAGAACTGCTTCAAATATGTTAAACTTTTTAAACTACGTGAAACATAAAATAGGTATTAAAAAAATTAACTTTTTTATTTATAAAATAATTTAGCCTAAATAAAACTAAAACTTGCAAACTTTGTTAAATAAAGAATATTTGTTTCCTTTTTAAACAATCGTAAGTTGTTACTTTATATAAAAAATACTGCTTAATTTTATAAAAAAAATTATAAAAGAGCGATGTTTCAATCTAAACGTAATTTATTTAGCTTTAAGTTTTTTCGCTTTTAAAGATATTATTTGTGTAATTTTTTTTTTTTTTTTTGTAATTGTCTCTTATCGGTCCAATTAATCTTTTTTTTTTTTTTTTTTTTTTATAATGTTCTCAAAACGACTAAAAAATCTGGCCAGCTTTTCGCAACTAAATATTATTTACATGGTCAGCAATCAAAAGCGATTGCTCCCGCTTCCCGACTAAGCCTGGTAATGATGTATATATATATATATATATATATATATATATATATATTTATATATATATATATATATATATATATATACACATTATTAGTATTAAATTATAAGTAATGTATAATAATGTAATACATAATGTATTACATTGATTATTAATAATAATAACATTATTATTAATAATGTATAATAATGTAATACATAATGTATTACATTGA